ATATGCACACAGAAATGTAAAGTTCATTTTTTGTGCCTCTTTCTTCTGGAAATCAAGATCACTATAATTCATTAAGTATTTTCATGAGTACTGTACTTAGACTCCAGCAGAATCCCAAAATTGCCAAAGATAAAAGAAGAAGAAGAAAAAAAAGCAAATTTTATAACCACTGGAAGTTAGCTTTTTTAAAACAAATATTTTCTTGTGTAACTTTTTTGTGAGGAAAAGATTCTCTTGAAAGCACTTAATAAACTAAATTTGCCCTCAAAACACTTAATGAACTAAGATTGCTTTGACTTCTAGAAGTTATATTAACCACTCAGCAGTAATATATATACTGCTATATATATATATTCCTCAAGGGTGATCGTGTGGCAGTGATGAGGGACAAATATATACATCAAATTCTTTTGGGAGGTATCGCCAAAAACTAGCCTAAAACTACCACGAAAAAAAAATTCACATAAAAAATGAATTATGTAACAATAAAAAAAGACTTTTCTTTACTAGACATAACTGTTTACAAAATCTTTTTCCGAAACAGTAATGAGAAAAAACGTGTGGAAAAAAACTCTAAAAATTTCGCATGTTTATTCTCCACTACTAAGGGGAAGCACCATACCTGACTATTCCACTGTTGAAAGGTTAATTTTTTATTTATTAATTAACTTTATAAAATAACAATTAATAATATAGAATTATGTGAATGTAGAAAGAATATAAGAATAACAAAGAGCTGTACAATATAACTTTTAATTAAGAATTTATTGAAAAAAATTTTTTTGTAAACACATTTGATAAAGTTCATCAAACAAGTTTCAATTCAATTTGTACTTTATGCAGCAAAAGTTTTCATAAATCAAATGCTTTCAGGTTATACTCAGTGTATTCAAAATTTTTAAGTGTGTTTTTTAAAAAATTTTTGCTCTAGAAAAAACAATTTAAATTGGATTATGTAATAAAGTTTATTTTTCAAGGACTATTAATTAGAAAAATTTGATATATGTTGTTATTGAAAAAATTACAAATAAAATAACTTTTAATTAAGAATTTATTGAAAAAAATTTTTTTGTAAACACATTTGATAAAGTTCATCAAACAAGTTTCAATTCAATTTGTACTTTATGCAGCAAAAGTTTTCATAAATCAAATGCAATTTTATTTATAATAAGATTGTTTATGTTTGGATAGAATTTTAAATTATACTTACATCATAACTCTCATCATAACAGCAACAAGAGAAAACACTACACCAACTAATAATCCCACATCAATACTTAGTATAACAACTGATAAGAATGTTACCATCCATACGGCCTGTTTTACATAAAAAATTAATCTTATTAAAGTTCTAGACATTAAATTAAAAGCAATAACGTGATGCAATTTGTTAATTTATAACAAATAAAAATTATTTCATTATGAAAGCTTCTAATCATACAATTTGTATTACTTACAGCTTCTATTTGAGAAACTTTCCAAAGTTTATAAAAATCTTTGATTTGAACAAAATCTATTTAATTGTTTTTCTTTTCAAAAAATGTAATATATATATTTTAAAAATAAATTCATATAAGTTATTCTAAAAATTTTATTTAATTCAAAATTTTAAAATAAAAATGAAAGAAAATTTTTATTTTAATAAACAAATTTTGTATCAAAAATAAGTGTCTTTATCTTTAAGATCTGAGAATTGGAAAACACAATATCTAAATAGCTGAATGATAAAACTTTATCTACTTTTATAACACGTAATAATATTTAAAGATAATAATTTATAACTACGTATTTAATAATTATTTTTCAGGTTTTGATAAACAGCTACTTAAGTAACAAATTTTGTATTACTTACAGCTTCTATTCGAGAAACTTTCCAAAGTTTATAAAAATCTTTGATTTGAACAAACATCCCTTTTAAAGCAACAATAATTATTGATGCTAATATACTCTAAAAATTAGATACATTATAAGTTATATTAATTTAAAAATAAGATTTTTCTTAAATATCAGAAAAATAAATAAATAACATTAAATATAATAACTGAGAATATTTAAATAAAAAAAATAATAATTATAAAATATAAAATTTTATTCTAAAAGTAATTGTTCAGTACCATAATGCCTAAAATTATTTAAAATGTTAAATATTTTACAGATATTTATGGAAAGATGTCTTTACATTAACTTTTATTTGAAATTTTATATAATCTATTCATTTATGTATTGATATATTAACTAACAATAAACTTTTAAACTTATTATTCAAATAAAACACTATAAATTAATACACTAAAATCTTTCAAATTTAATATATATTTATCTAAAAAATTGAAATTAATGTTTAAAGAAAGAGTTTTACTATATGATCTTTTCCAAAAACAAAGTTTATAATTTCGTTTATCTTTTATGTAATGTTATCATTTCCATTATGTAAATTATAATTATGGTTATCAACACCTTAAAACTATGTTTATAAACAGTTTTATTAAAGATAATCTCATTTGATCAAGCTTGGGTCATTTTCATCTAACAAATTACAGGCTTGTATACAATAAGATACTTAAATGCTTATCTTGTATAATTCTGTATAATTTTTAGTTTAAAAATGTATAATGTACAAAGTTTGATTTAAAATACAGTAAGACCCTTGCTTAATGCAGCGGATGCATTTCTAGACAAGAAAGCGCTAAATGAAACAGTGTTAAACCAGGTCATTTTAACATAGAATAAATAGGGAAAGGGAAACACACGACCAAAAATAAACAAATTTTACTTTCATTTTAAGTTATTTTTATATTAATTTGCATAATAATATATGTTAAATAACACACAAACATATGCACACAGAAATGTAAAGTTCATTTTTTGTGATGAAGGTCCTGATTGTTCTGAAATGCTTGTTTTTTGCAATAAAGTCATGTAGTTTCATTTGTTACTGTTTTTCTTTCCTTAAGCAAATGTCAGTAGCAGAGGATCGCATCCAAAACACCTCATTTTGCTTTTGCACTCCTTTCGAAATCTGGATCATTCGTTACAATTTGATCAACAATTTCCATTATTGTTACCAAACTTTTACTAAAGAAATCTGTAGAGAAATTTTTTGGGTTCTTCTTATCTCTATTTTCCAGTTCTACACAAATTCCTTGTTCTGCCAGTTCTTGAAGGTCGTCATTGGTAAGGCTCTTACCAGAAACCTGTAGTAACTCCTCAATATCTGCTTGTCTACATCTCCTAGTCCTGCTGTATCGATTAGGCTCTTCTCATTGAGAATTCTTGGATACCTTCAGCCATAACTTTTTCCACATTTCATTCATGCATTTATAAGTTAATTCTTGCCAAGCAAAGTTGATGTTGCCTATGGCATCTATGATGTTATATTTTTTCCAAAATTGCACCAAACAAACATAGATTTAAGGAAAGTACAGTGACACGATGAATTTCCACCTTTTGCTGATTGATTTGTGTTTGGGAATAATCAATGAAATGCTGCAATAATTTGAATAAGCTAAATTTTGAGGTTTTTTTAGGCTTTGAGCAGACCACATTATATCGAATCAGCGTTAATTGAGGCAGCATTAAGCGGGGTCTTACTATATTATAATAAAAAAAACTTTTTATTCTGATTTTCTAAACTTAAAAATAATCAAGAGACTATATAATTCACAGTATTTTCATAAAATACATATTTTCAAATATTTATATAGATAAGACTTCAATTTTATATATAATAAACAAGTCAGTGAAGATGATCATTAATATTCTCAGAAAAATCATACCACAACACACATTCTCTAAATAACGTTTTTTTTTTTTTACTTCTGAAGAAAAACAGTAAAAACATATCAATGATTTTTATCATAATCTATACTTACCCTAGGCAAAGAATAAAGAAGTGGGGCTAAGAAAAATAATACAATCAAAATCAATGAACTTGATATTAAATTTGTGACCTGGAAAATAAAATTAAATATTTCAGTATAAATAAATTTATGTATAAAATACTCTTATTTATGAAATAAAACGTAGCTCCAACCTGCTTTTTAATTTTATTTTTATATAGTAAATTATCAACACAAAATAAAAATTTTAAACTATAAATGCAAGTTAGTAAGATTTTTTTTAATAACTCTTTTATTGTTAGAACAGTGATTTTTAACTGGTGTACTATGAAAATTTTTAAAGGTCATTAAATAAATTATTTTTGAAAGAAGCCCAAAGACAATATGTGTACATGTACCTCTTTAAATTGATTACACAAGTTTTTCATTATTATAATAAATAAATGTATACATAATGTAGTAAAAAATATATATTCATACACAAAATTATATGTGCATAATACAGAGTTATTTCATTTAAAATGAAATTTTCTTTAAATCAAAAATGTATCTTTAATTGTCCATATTTAGTTCAAATTATTTTAACTTAGAACATTGGACAGGTTTCTAAAGGCAATTATCATGCCATTTTTAAATAAAAATCAAGACTTAATGTTAATTGTTTTTCTTGTGTAAATAAAAATTATTAATTTAAATAACTATTGTTGTAACCTTCTGCCATTTTAAAGAACAACAATACTGTTTTATTTAATTTACAAAAAAATATAGACAAAAAAAATTAGGCCAAGTGACAAGTAATATGGTAATAGTATATTTACAAACACAACTTTAAATCGTGTGATATTTTACTTGGAAATTTGTGTCGCTGAAATTTAATTATAGGTTCAAGTGTGCCATGTGATAAAAAAGGATGAAAAATACTGTGTTAAAAGAATGAATTTATTAAACTTAGAATATAGACTGTAGATAATTTTACTAACAAGCTGAAATTGAGATAATGAATTAAATCTACAGTTTTAAATGACATTCTACTATTTACTACTCAATACTTTTTGAAAATTTTAATTTTAGGTTTAATAAACAACATATAAAAATTTACATATAAAATTTGAGAAAATTTGATGCAATACTGTATTTGAAAATTCTGAATTGTAATCTTCACATGATCAATAAAATAATTTTAAAATAAATTATTGAACATGAAAAATTTTATTACAAGTTTGATTAGTTCACTAAAAATACTTTATATTTTATTCATTTATTTTGTCAATATACAGGGTTATTACAAATGAATCATTGAATTTCAACTGTATTTCCAACAATAATTCAGATTTAACAATTAGTGATGTATTAAAAGAATTAGAAACTGTTAAAGTTTACGTTATAGGATTACAGACGTTATACATGTGTTCTTTTGGTAACATATCATATGTCCAAGCAGAAGTCCAGTTTGCCCTATGCATTGTAGTATGTTTTCCTAGATGGTCATATTTGCAACAGTAATGTGGTCCTGGAGCTCTGCCAAAGATCTGGGTAATGGGCAGTACATAAACTGTGTCCTTTACATACCCCAACAGAAAAAAAAATGACACAGTGTGAGGTGCAGAAATCTGGGAGGTATCAGTACAGCACTAAGTCCTGACTATTGCAATGCCCAATCCAGAAGTGTGGGTGTTCTGCATTCAGGTATTGAGTCATCTCAGTATGCTAATGAGGTGGAGCTCATAATGCTGGGAGAGAAAGTCATTGGAAATGCCTTCTAATGCTTAGCACCTGGTGTATTGCAAGGAAATCTTCATGTAGGTTTCAAATTTGAAGAGTTTCTCTTTCATTTAATGTCTGGCATAATGACATGGCTCAATATTTTGGACATTACAAGACTTTAAAACTTGATGATTCATTTGTAATAATCCTGTATCTTATATTTTTAATAAAATTATGTATTTTTTTGACTAGACTGTAAGTCTTGCAAATATAACCTCATGTAAACATTTCAATTTTAAATTATAATAAATGTAATAACAATAAATATAACCAATAATTGACTAACTTGAGTTTTCCCTCCAGTTTTATCTTGTAATGAACTTCTTGATACTGAAGCTGAACAAGGATAACAAGAAAAAAAGGAAGAAAAGATATTGGCTGAACCAAGGGCAAGAAACTCCTAAAAAAAACTTTGTCAATATTTAAAATTTTACCAAAATATAAGTTATTTAATATATACATATATGAATTTTAAATCATTATATATATATAATGATTTAAACTCCATCTTTAAAAAAATTAAATTGCTAAAAAATAAAAAACATGCTATAATTAAAATAATGAATTTATATAATTTCAATAAAGTTAGAAATGAAAATAAGGTTAATCATTTAATTATAGTGTATTACTTAGTAGGATTTGTTTCTTTTATGAAAAGAATATGTTTTGAATTTCCTTTCTTCTCAAAATTTTCTTTATATCTGTCAAATAAATTTTAGGAAATGTAATGTTTCATTCTTCTGTGGTGAGCACGGGGTGATGGATGAATTCTCACAAAGAGACAGGAATATAGAACAATAAGACGTGCTTTATTTTACTGTATGAACATATATACAGGAAAAGTTCGTTGATTCCGACCTCCTTGTTCCTCACTTTAATTAAACAAAAGGGAACAAACAACACCGATTGTTGTTTCACAGTGGAGCTAAACTTTTCTTTCGCGTAACAAAGGAGACACTTAATTACTAACTTAAAACTACTTATAACTAGAAGAGGAAAGGAAGAACAAGAATTAGAATAGAATGGGAGAACAAGAATGGAAATTTCTAGTAAGGAACGGGTACCCGAATGGTTGACTGCGGTGGTGGCCACTAGATGATTTCGTCTTGGGATTCTTTTCTTCTACGGGGACGGAGCACATGCGAAGACCCAAAGTTCGTCCTTTAGTCTCGGCTTTACTAATGTTCTTTTTCTCTTCCAAAGCTCTTTCTATCTTTAGTGTTCTTCGTAACCCTTCCGGCCGAAGCAACACCGATCTTGGGACCGCTCTCTCCGACGGTCTTTCCTCCTCCGGTCCAAAGCCAAAAGTGTCCTTATCGTCTCCCACTTGCCCTCTGGGCTATCTTCACCCCTTTGTCCCAAAATTGGGTCACTGACCACCCACATTCAGACGAAAGTTCCAGAAAGTATAGAAACAGAACAAAGAGAAAGGGGAATAGAATATTCTTATATATACATATATAAAATAAAAACAACAAAAATATACTGGTGTACCACCACACTTCATACTTTGACTTTCAGATCTAACACTGTCTCCTGTCTTTTTCTTCTGTTTTTCTCTTTCAGGATTAGATAGCAAGTATTTATAAGTGATGAGATGATCAGGAAATCTCACCTTAATCTTAGTAAAATAGTAACATAGAATACCTTTGTTTGAATTAGAATTAGTTAACATTAAAATTTAAAAATTTGTATAAATATTCTAGAATATGTTCTTTTATTTTTTGCCTGACAAAGACATTTTTGTAAATGTTGAAGGTACTTGCATGAGCATTTCTTTTTATTATTAAAGGCAGCTAATGCTGATAAGATAATTTTTTTAGTACATATGACATGTTATAGCAAATATGAAATCAATTAGATATAGGATATATACAAATATATTGTGTAACAAATATTAAATTTGGCAAGCATAAAGAATTGTGAAATATGACTTGTGACTTTTACACTGTGAAATAAACTTTGGTGTCTTACTATAATATTGTTTTAAAATATTAACTAAACCCTATCAATAAAAAATATGTATGTGTTTAAAAAATTGTATGGCTACTTTTGAATCACTTTGTTGTGAAGTTTCGTTTGAGGGCAATATATTATTGCAGACAGGAAACATATAAAACGAGTAAAAATACAAAATTTTTTTTTTTTTTACTCATTAAACACAGGTTCTTTAAAATGATTCCAACTTACAGACTATTGGGTTCGTATACATACAATAATCGTCTACACAAACAAGCCTCTGTTGTGGCAACCGACACATGACTTATAGCTAAACTTAACCTACTTACAAACTAAGGAAGGAGAAATAAAATATAGATAGGGATAGTAGTAGAATAAAGGAGAAAATACCCGGGAGCTTTCTGCCACGTGGTCTCAGATAATTCACCGTCTTGAAATTCTTAATGACTGCAGACCTTATTTTCTTTCCTCTTATGAATGTCTACGTTTTCTGAAGTTGTCTTGTGGTCTTCCCGCTTGCTGTTACTTGAACATGGGGGAACTCGATTTCTTTAGCAATTGCCCTACGTTCCTCTATAATTCAGCCATCTTACAAGGTTCCGATACATCTGATCTCTCACTATGCGATCAGGGTATGATCCTCCTTCGGTTTTCTATCGCAAGGCTTCTTACTTCTTGCTCGACCCCTCGGTCAGGACCACACTCGTTTTCGTCCTCTCTCGACGAAATCGCAGCCGCTTCTCCCTTTTCTTTCACCTCGCCTCCTCTCCAGGGGGTTATTGCTCCTTTTGTCTTCTTGACATTGTTTCACAGAATCAGTGATGTCACCCAAGGGAATAGGGATTAAGGGAGAAAGTTCTAGAACAGTTAAGACAAAAGAACAGAGGAGATACTAAGCCTAACTAAAATTAACAAAAATATATATAAAACTATGGCTGACGGCCACATTGTATCTGTACATTGAAAAATTACAGATCTTATGTAAATATTCTTAAATTATCAACAACAGAACAGTGAACAATGTATGTCTATAATCTGTGGATTATGCATTAAAAAAAACTTGATTGACAGTGCAATTATAGGCTGCTGTATATAATATGCAACAATTTTTCTATGTTACCAAAAATGGCACTAAGATTATTTTACTTTTGGTTATTTTAAGAAGTTTTCATAACATGATAAAATGTGATGAGGTGTCTGTTTTATGTGTCTGATGGATAAAAATAATAATAATGGTGCTAACAGACTCATTCACTTCTACTATTAAATGAAATATAGCATTATTTACATGTAGGTTGACTCTAATAAACATCTCCAAGTCAATCTTTACTTAAAATAAGGTGTAAACTTAGCTTAAGATGTTTCAGTTTAATCAATAATGATTAACAGTGTCATGGTCAACATAATATAATACAAGAAGCTTCTCTTTCATTTTTGACATGGAGGAAGCTTGTTCCATGATGAATACAAAATTTTATAGATGTGATTTAATATTTTATTAATACAAATTTATAAAAACATTACAAAGACAACTACATTCAAAGGAATCAATCAAAAGTCATACCAAAGTATTGCAATCTTCATGTGGAATCAATTTTATTTTTATTCTTAATTTTTATTTACTTGATTTTTTATGAATTCACTTTAACTTCATTATAAACTTGAGATTACAATGGTAATCACAGATTGAGCAGTTCTTCATAAAGTTAGTTTTGTTTTGGTTTTTGAGCATTAATAACACAAACTTGACTTTAATTTAAATACAATAAATAACAATAAAACAATAATATAAAAATAATTTTTATATTTATTTTATAAAAATTATTTTTATACAGAATGTATTTATGGCCTGTTACAGTATCATATTTAACATTTAATTGCTATACTGTGCCATTAGTGCATTTGTTTGAACTCAAAAATAATTTTCTAATTATTCTATTTTTAGCTGTTGTGAGTCAACAGATCATAAATTATGGACTGACCACATTTTATAAATCTGGATTTTAAACTTTTATTGTACTGCTTAAAAATGAATTGTTTAATTTCTTACCTAGAATTGAGAATACTTTTTAAATTATTAATGTCTTAATATCTTAATAAATTAAAAATAAATCAAAACTGTCCTAATAAATTTCATTATTTTTTACTGATGTATGAGAAAGTAAATAAATGAGGATACAAACTTAGCAAATTACAGTACTTTGCCAAATTATTACACCCATTGAGTAAAATCATACATTTTGTACTATTTCCTTCTCTTTTTTTTCTTAATATTGTTTAAGGAATGAGTAATTTGTGCTATTCTATATTTACCAAATCACTTCTAAAAATTTTTTATATGGCAACACTGTAAATGTAAGAAAAATCAACTTTCTAGTACAAAAAGAGAACTGATATAGGTTTTTATTAAGGTATGACACCATAGCCCATTGATGAGATCAAAAATTTTTTAAATGTATAAAAAGTATTCTTTGTTATTTAGAAGAACTAATGGCTGTTAAAGGTAGTCTTACAAAATACTAATTTTCATTTTTAATTTTTTAAACTTTATTATATTAAAATTTTTATATGCAAAAATTATTTTTTATTTCAAAATACATAATAAGTTCTATAAACAATTGCATTTATTACATCAATAACTAAGAAATTATCAATTTTTTGCATAATTTCTAATAATTTGGCAAGGTACTGTATATGACAATAAACTTTTTAACAACAAAAAACTGCACCTGTGGATTGTACACTACAGAAGATTATAGGCAAGAAATTAGGATTGCTTACATATTTTCATATGATTTTTTAAAACTTGTTAAATGACTAAAAAACAAAACAGTAAAAGTTCATATTTTTAAAACAATTTCTTAACTAAATAACATAACTGTTTTATATATTTAAATATAAAAAAATTTTCAAGAAATACCTGAGAAGGATCAATTTCATATTCACGTTTTCTGGCAAATATTTTTGCCAAAGAATAGGTAATAACATATATAATAATGCCAATTATTAAGCCATCAAGAATCAAATAAGGCAAGAATTCTAATCTGGGAACTGAAGGTCCAGGAAGACTATAATAGAAAATATTTTTATATTTTATATAAACAATAAGATTTTAAATTTA